GAAAACCCCCTGAAGCTAAATAGAAAAGAAAATTATTCTTATCACAATAAATTTTAATAATATGATAATAAATGATTCATCTAATTCATGCATATGAAAAAGCCTCAAGCCTCTTTATTAAAAAGAACAATGTTTTATCACATATGATAATTGCATAAGTTAGTCACTGAATTGATTCAGAAATAAATTAGCAAAGGATTTTTGAAAATTTCTTAGAGAAAGGATATATATTTTTTTAGTATTTGAGAAAAAATAAAAATGACGCTTTGGAGAAGAATAAATTATAAATGGAAATTTCCTTAGATGGGAAGGAGTGTGAGGATGTTGTCAAGGATGATCTTTTACTGCATAATTAGTAAAATGAGGTTTTCAAGCTCTATATATCTAAAGATAAAACCAATCGCCCATCCTTGCAGAGTGACTTTATGGATATCACTTTAATGTGTAATTTGGATATTGGTCATTTAAGAGGACCAGAAAAGGAGAACCAGGGGGATGGCTGTTGTATCGTATGAACCTTCATGATTTCAATAGAGTGCTTTTATTTTTTATAGGGCAGACACTTACTTGTCAGTGTAAAGGAAAGGAAATAAGCTGACAAATGCTTTACAGTAGCCACTATGTTTGGATCATCAAAATCCACATTGACTTGGAGGATGGCCTTGTTGCATGAGCTTAGCCAGGACCCCCTAGAGTCCTGTTGGTAAGTGGGAGTGCCACAGTCAGCTTTCCATAGAAACACAGTCCAGGCCAGGCTATTCTCATCTAACCTGAAGCCCAGGTACATGAAAGCAGATGGCCTGGAGTATAAACGGTACAGAGTCATTTTTTTAAAATAGACTTTTAGTTTGACTCACAGCAAAATTGAAAAGTACAGAGACTCCCATTTTCTCCCTCCCCTTTACACACACAACCTTGAACACTATAGATATCCTCCCCCAGGTTGGTACCTTTGTTACAACAGATGGAGTTAATTCAGCACATCATTATCACTTGAAGTTGGATTGCACATTTAGTCTCATTTTTGGTGTTGTGAATTCTATGAGTTCTAATAATAAAAACACCCGTGTCCACATTAGATTATCACATAGAATAGTTAAAATACTCTGTAAATTGTCTTTCTCAACTTATTCATTACTTATTTCAACCAATCTCTAGAAAAAAATATTTTTTATTGTCTTGACAGTTTTGCCTTTTCCAGAATGATATATAATTGAAATATTCAGGAGTTATTCATTCAGATGTCTTATTTCATTTAAAAATATTCACTTAAACTTCTCCCTATCATTTTATAGCTTGATAGTTCAGATCATTCATTTTAGTGGTGACTAATATCCCAACATGGATGCACTACCAGTTATGTACATATTGATTTACTGAAGAATATATTGATTGCTGCTATATTTCAGAATTATAATTAAAATTGTACTAAAATTCCATGCAGAGATTTTTGTGTGAATATCAGGTTTCAACTCATTTCAGTATATGCAAGGATGTGAATGTCAAATAACATGGTATGAGTAGAGTTAGTTTTGTAAGAAACTCTCAAACTGTCTTCTACTGTGGTTGTATAATTTTCTTTAGCACCAATGATGACTATCTTGTTGCTCAATAACCTAGCCAGCACGTATTGTTTTAAGGGCTCTTGATTTCAATTAATTAAATAGGTGCATAGTGGTGTCTGATTAATTAAAGTATTGACTTTCATCTCCCTAATAATATATGATGTTGAATATCTTTTCATATATTAATTTGCCATCTACATACCTTCTTTCATAAAGTGTCTGGTTTGGTCTTTGGACCACTTAAAAAATAGATTTTCCACTTTTTTATTGCTTTTGAATTTTAAGTTATGTATTGTGATATATATGAAGCAGTATTCATTATTCATAGTTCTCTGAAGAATCAGAATCCATAACTTGATAGATAGGTAGATAGATAGATAGATAGATAGATAGATAGATAGATAGATAGATAGATAGATAGATTAAAAGCAAATCATGAAGATAAATTTTCTCAGATAATGGTGAAGGTTGAAAAATTCTATAGTTATTATCCTCAAGCTTTTTTTAATTTTAATTTCATACCAGTGATTGAACCCAGAGGCTCTTAACCATGGAATCACATCCTCAGCTCTTTATTATTTATTTTATTTAGAGACAGAATCTCTCTAAATTACTGAGGCTGGCTGAAGCTGGCTTTGAACTTGCAATCCTCCTGCTTCAGCCTCTGGATCCACTGGTATTAGAGGCATGTGACACCATACCTGGATACCAGTCCATTTTTGAATGTCAAAATCAAGAGTGTTGATGATAGAAAGTCTAGTTCAACTGTAGAAGATCAAAGACCCAG